CATGGATGTTGATGGTTTTTGCCTGCTTCGGCCGCGGCCCGATCTCCACAAGGCCGATGACTCTTTTAATTCCTCGCGCCTCTTGAAAATCTTTTCTTTCGGTTCAGGCTCTTCATTCCGCCGACGGTAACCAGGGCATACCCGTCCATAAGGTCAACGAACGCCAATGCGCGCCAGATGATTCGACAATGCACCTCTTGTCTAGGCCGGGACGAACGAGTCAAGCCTGATAGGAAACAAAAGCACACCAATCCCAAGTCGTCTTCGCCCTCTTTCAGGCTTCAACATATGAACAACAGATTACCTATTACCTCTGTGAAGGTTGAACGCACGTCCGACCGCCCACCAAAAGAAAACCTCGTCGCTCACCGGCTTCTACGAGCCGCGAGGTTTAGCTCTCTGTCAGCTTCCGGCAAGTAGGAGTCAAGACGGGGGTTACGATGGAGTGATGGATAGGAACAGACGGAGCTTTGCTCCCCATCTTCCCCAACTGCCCACTAGCCCGATACTCACTTTCAGAGCACATGCCGAGACGTACCTTAACTGGCCTGCCTTCGTCCCGCCCTTCCGCCCTACGGACACCGCCGCATCTCCGGTCCCAGACCGACGAGTCCAGCTGCCCCAGCACAGTGGCGTGGTTGCTGATGTGTTGCACCTGCAGCATGAAAACGGCCACTGTTCCGTCACATCACCGGCTTCGAATCGGTCCCACACTGATGAGGCTTGGAGGCGCTCTTGCAGATGACAGGCTGCTGCTGATGGAGCCCTTTATCCAGGCACGCTGCAAAAGAGGACCGCCTTCCAGGGGCACCAGGTGGGAAAATCTCCATCGGCATGGCCCTGGCATTGTCTAGATCTGGGCCTGCATTTCGTCGCAACCAGCTGGCCTCCACCGACGGAGCTAAAGCATCTGCCACTGGGACCCGTTACCCGATACTGCACAGCAAGTACCTTCTTGCGCAAGCTTCTTGGAGGAACCGTCGCATTATAGGACAGGCAAGGAACTGCCTACGACACGCTTCACTGACAATGAGGAGGAAGACGTGTAAGCCTTTCAGTCTCGACAGATTTGTCGATCTCGATTGCGAAGCTTCGGGAGACTTTGAACCATCTCTTCCCCACTGATGTGCTGGCTTTGCCGCTTGCATATCAGTTCTAGACCGCTGATCGCACATTTGACTTTGGAACGACCTTGTCAACTATCCCCCAATCCTGTGGTTCAGCACGACACAATGAGACTTTCCCCTCACACCATCTCAATTCGACATACAAAGTTCTGGCGGGCCATGATCCAATCCGCCCGGCGACTTACTCAAGCAGGCGTGTAACAATTGGCATTTTGTCATAATCTCTTGGTTCTACATCGATTTTTCCCTTCCGAATCCTTAGACAACGGCCAGACAGCTAGTCGTTTCGGTCTCCCACGGACGGTTGGCGTACTCGCACTATCGTGCGCAAGTAGAAGCGTGAGAACGGACTTCGCCTCAAAACGAGACATATATTCAACGTCACTGCTTAGTTGGGACTTCTGGGGCGCATGAAGCATCCCTTCAGGCGTGCCATGTTCCGACCACGCGGCGCTAGTGTATGAATGTTTTTTTTGTCACCGTGCTCTGCCTTTGCTTGGCGGTTGAGATTCTCATCGTACAGTGCCTCCTGTCTGCTATGATAACGTCGCCTCGTCTCGATCCTCTAATAATTGTACATGGGCACGCTCTTCTTCGTTTGAGATGGTATACAAGTGGATGCTTTCTTTCCGCGCCTGACTCCGTTTTTATACGTGGTTGAAAATAGACTGTTGTAGGACACGTGCTCTATGGCACGACGTTGATACCAATGGACTTGCACTGGTAGATGACGGAGCGGCAGATGGCCTCGAGGCTGAGACCCGATAGACGCATTTCCGTCTGCTTGATCTTGGCGATCTCGTATACGTGCTTCAAGCTGACGGTGCCGACCGTCTCCTTTCCGGGGTTGGTCGCGCCCTTCCGCTTGCCCTTCTTGCCGACCGGCACCTCGGCGGCGTTGAGAAGAAGCCAAGATGTGTGAGGTGTGCGGATGTCAAAGTGGAATGATCGGTCGCCTCGGACAGTGACTCGACAAGGCATCGGCGTGCCGGTGATGATGTGTGCTGTCCTTGCATTGAACTCCTATCGATTGAGCAAAGACACGTTAGCATTGATCTCAACCATGGCATAACCAACCCCTTAAAAGCACAGATGTTGGGCAGAGAGTGGCATGTGTTGCTTCATCAGAGTCCCAAGGGCAAGTCTCACCTTGCAAAAATCCATCGACTTGACACCCTTGCTACCCAGCGCAGGACCAACAGGCGGACTCGGGCTGGCCTGCCCAGCGCCCACGATGAGCTTCACGACCTGGTCGGCAACTGTCGCTCCTCTCTTGGACATGGTGACGGATATACAGACGAGTCTGCTCGTTGGGGAAAAGGGGGGTGATGGGTGGGTGGTGATGGGCAGGTATATTGCACCGCGCGACAGACAACTAAGCTTCAATCAATCAGACCTGATGCTGCACCTTTTCGGAGGTGGAAAATTTAGGAGCCTTGAAGCACCAGCCACGCGCCAAAGGTCCAAGCGACCGGGATGCTCGGGGGAGCGCAGGATCCACCCTGGTCGCATTAGCCACAGTTTCACCGTCATTGGGTCGTGGGATGACCCCTCGGCCCCTCCGCTGGCTCTTGTTTGGGGCGGTCAACTCAACTTCTTCTCAACTCGGTTTTCCTCTTAAGAACACCACCAAGAAGCTTGTTTCTCTTGTTACCCGTGTATAGACCTGCTGCATTTTACCGCCATCGACGACCACCTTTTATACCCCTCCCGTTTCCATCCGTCGTCACCCGTTCACGCGTCCTGCCGTCAACATGTTCAAGTGGGCGCAACAAAAGTAATTAGTGTTTGCCGTCCCTCAATGTTGCGTCAGCCAAGGCTAACCTTTTGATTCTGCCAGGCTCGCCGATGTGGCAGGTACCCAAGAGCCCATCTACGGCCCAACAGCTATCAGATCCGTCGCCGAAGAGGCCAAGACGACTACCCACACGGAGACCACCAAGGATGACTTGAAATGGATTGCGGCCGACTCGACCTCTGTTGAGACGCAGAGCTTCTACCTCATGGGCGACAACGGACACCTTGGGCTGGCCCAAATCATCTACAGCAACGTTGGGTATGGGATAGCTTCCTTGTCTTTCACACCTGTCTCTTTATGCTGACCCTATGTTCAAACAGTGGCATCCGCACAACATGCCAGTTCAACGCCAAGATCTTCTACCCCAACAAGTCGAAGCCGACGCTCTGGGAGACCACACAGCTCAGCCACTACGAGGTGAGCGAAGACCGGATGTCCTTTTACGCCGATGACTGCGCCGTCGAGCTGTCCGAGGACGGCACCTACTACACGATCAAGAGCATGAACTCGGAGAACGCCATTGTCAACCTCAAGGTCACCCGCATGTCGCCCGGCTTCCACGCTGGCAAGACGGGCAAGACGCTGTTCGGCACCGACATGTCGAAGCCCTGGGGCACCATGCGCCACGCCTTCTGGCCGCGCTGCATCACCGAGGGCACCATCACCACCAAGGACGGCGCCGTCGACTTCAAGGGTCGGGCCTTTTACGTGTACGCGCTGCAGGGCATGAAGCCTCACCACGCGGCGGCCAAGTGGAACTTTGTCGACTTCCAGGGCCCCAACTACTCGGCCGTCATGATGGAGTACACCACCCCTCCCTCGTATGGTTCGACCACGGTCAGCGTTGGCGGTATCGCCAAGGACGGCGAGATGATTTACGGTGGCGTCACGCAGACGGCCAAGCACACCAAGGCGAAGAACGATTCCGTCAACGAGTGGCCCGAGCCCGAGGAGATCAAGTTCACTTGGTCCGGCACGGACAAGGATGGCAAGGCCGTGGAGGGTGTCATTGAGGGCCCTCTGGGCGAGAGGCTGGACAGAGTGGACGTACTGGCTGAGGTCCCCGGCTTCGTCAAGAAGATAGTAGCTGGCACGGCCGGCACCAAGCCGTACATTTACCAGGTAAGTCCCCGGGTCGAGCCCCTAGTGGCTCAAGGAACTAAGCTGACAACGATTACAGTACTGCCCGACAGAGAAGAAGCTCACTTTGAAGCTCAAGATTGGAGACCAAGAAATCTCCGAAGAGGGTCTCTGCTTCAGCGAGGCCACCTTCATCTCCGAATAGACGTATGGACAATGAAACGACGGCGATGAAATTCTTGGGTAGTTGTTGCCGGTCTGGTTAGGCGTTCAGATGGGGGCTATGGTCACTCGTTGAATTGGGTACGCATACTTGTTCTATAAAGTTGTTCTAATACAAATACACACTTTCAACATTCTGAATATGTCGTGCAAGTTTCTGATCACTGAAAATCCTGTGCTCCCGCAGTCAGCATAGCTCCTCGTGCCAAAGTGCTTCAGCTCTCAGCTATCTTAAAGCTGGGGCATCACATAGACCCCGACCCCGACTTCAGAGTTTCTATCTTGAAACAAGACATATGACAAACATTCGCCGGCAAGTTCCCTGCACCTGCATTGCGAGCGATGAGTTTTGACAGTGTGTGGTGTGTGATTCTACGGTGTTTTTGCACGGGGCATTCCAGCACGGGCCATGTTGAACCGATAAGACTCGAGACGTGACCGATAAGGCAAGGCAGAAACGTCCCTGCCGCACCTGTCTCCATTGGATCGATGGCAGGTACCTACCTACTGCGCAGTAAGTCCACTGCCCTGCATCCAGTGCTTCTATTGTCTCTGGGTACCTCAAGACCTCCTTAGCTTACGGTTATTCCCCCACATAATCGCTGCCAACTCCCCCGTCCCAAGTCCCCAACAACAGTCCCCAAGCGGCGCGTCCACCCACCCACCCACGGATCCTCACCTTCACCTGCCAGTTCGGCGATTCACGATCTAAAAGAAAACACCAGCAATTTTCCTCATTCCACAGTCTACACTGACTTCATCACTATTTCACCATGCCGCCCGCGCCCGCATTTCGCGGCGGCCCGTGGGCCTCGAGCTCCGGCGGCAAGCGCGGCACCGCTTCAAAGGTGCATCAAGGCGGCAAGGGCAAGACTGTGTTGCAGAACGCGGGGACCGGTGCAAAGAGACACCGGTCAGTGGTCTCCTTTTATCGATCTTCACTTACGGCAGGTGAGATTCGGCTACTGACTAGGAGAATTAGAAAAATTATGAAGGATTGTATCCGGGGTATTAGTATGTTGCACTTGACTCAGTTGACGGCTTATACACACTTGGATTTGAGGAGCTGACCCGGATTACTCGTTTAGCTAAGCCTGCTATTCGGTATGTTTTTCTTCCTTGATTGCAGGAGGTTTTCTCCTTGATTGAGAATTCTTGAGGCTCCCGGGTGAGGCGGATGGTCTCGGGGTTTCCCTGAGATGACGGTGATGAAGGGGACTTGAGTTGAGCTCTTCCTCGATCGAATCTCATTTCAGTCTCATCACGCACATCATCATCCTATCCCACTTCACCTGCGTCTCTCTACCATGGCGACTACCTACATCTACCTCCTTCCCCCTTCCCTTTGAGAAATGATTTTTAAGCTAACTGCTTTCTCTCACTCTAGTCGTCTGGCTCGTCGTGGCGGCGTCAAGCGGATTTCCGCCATGATCTACGACGACGCTCGTGAGGCCCTGAAGACCTGGCTCGAGTCTGTAAGTACACACTCTCACATAAATCGAATTCTGTTTGTTTGTTTTTGGCTTCATGAAAGGCCAACGAGTTACAAATAGGTCCTAAGAGACTGCGTGACATATGCGGAGCATCGGAAGGCGAAGACTATCACTATTCACGATGTAAGTCTCATGACCTGCCTCCGTCAGATTCTAGTGGCAGGGCCGGTGTTGTTCTGTGATGATTGGTATCTGAAGTTTCCCTCCCCTTAGGTCTTGCATTCTCTGGCCCGCAAAGGCAAGCCTATCTACGGCTTCGACCCCGATACCTTTGTCGACCCGAAGTCGCGCAAGGCAAAGGCAGCAGGTATCCAGGGCTGAGAGGGTTGGCCGGTTTACCTCCTCTTGTGTCTCTTCAAGCTTTAGAGAGGTAAGCTGTGAGTCAAAAACGCCAAAAAGGATTTCCACCATCAGTCAGAAAAGCGTGCCATCACCACAGCTATTGATTAGACCTTATCACCCTTTCTGGGTCCTTCTTTACTTGTCTTGTGAGGTATAGGCACCTCTGGCGTTTACGGTTGAAGTGAGTATGGACGATAAAGGACTACGGAATAGGGATATGTGTGTGTCTCACTTTCTTTCTGGATCCCGACGTTGGGGTTATGAGGCCTTGCAAAAGAGGGTCCTCGATGGTCAGGAGAATCTCGCGTGGGGATGCGCGAAACTTATCGACCGCCCGAAGCGACGGAGGAGAGAGATATCATGTCATCGCGAAGAAAAGACTGAAAGAAAAGGGTTTTGGAGACTCCTCTCCGGACATCCGATCCTCAGGAGGGAGGAAGGAATGGACATCCCGTCCGTTGTCAGTTCTCGATCCTGGGCACATGAGCAGACAAAGTCAGTAGTATACGGCGTCAGCGAAAATGAAGTGAGATTTTATCGTAAGCCAGCTCTCGGCGGAGCGCGGGATGAGCGCAACGAGACGATCAGTCGTGAATGATGTAAGCCATGTCGAGGCAATCTAGGTCTTTTCTATTTTGGGATGTTTGAGTCGTATATTGACATCGGATCGTGATTGAGACTAGTTTCTGGGTAAATGGGCGAGATTGAGCGTCATGACTTGGGAAACCATCAGGATTCGTGCTTCAGCTGCCCTGTCTGAGTAGCCAACTGTCCTTATTGCATCCCGCTGGGAAGTGTTATTTGTAGCTGATCACAGAACGGCTGCAAGTTTTCAACCATACGTTGTTCGCCGCAGTCCAAGAAAGTGTGAACAGATAGATACGTTGCCAAACGAAGGGTTTATATTAGGCAGCAGGAGGGAAGGGGACGGATGATCTGCGAGGACCTCTCTCCCACTCTTCCCTTTCCCCAAGCTGCACGTCTAGTGATATCTTCTTGCCACGTCCACGTCTCCACGCTCTTTAACGGGAAGGGTGTACCACGAAGAACTCTTGACTCCCTCCCCAAATCTTTCCGCTCTATACAAATTGTATAATCGCCACCCGAGGCGCCCAGTATAAAGATGAAAAGCCGTTTGATATAACGAGGGGTATCGTTTGAAAAAGATAAGACAACCAAAAGATAAGAGAGATGCCCGCGGGATCCTACACCAGCAACGTGTCAATGACACCTGGTCCGTCGTTTCCCACAGCTCTAGGGTATATTTGTAACCAATTTCCATCGACCGTCCCCGCCTAGTTGTCCGAAAAGAGGGAACAACAGAAGAAACACACGCACGCGCGCGAACACACCAAAGGTTGCGAATAAGTGGGTAGTAGCAATACGAGATAGAACAAATGTCTGTTGTGTTCTTTAGATGATGGAGAAGTGAGACGACGACGACGACGACGACGATCTTCACCTCTTCTTCTTGGTGAGCTCCCGCTCAGCCAACACGCCATCGAGTGTCTTGGCGGCCCAGCGCTCGCGCTTCCTAAACACGCCGTTGAAGAACTCGGGCATGACCATGCGGCTGTTGGCGTGCTCGAGCGCGAAGCCGACCTCTGCGTCCTTTCCGCACCGCTCGCGCGTGATGCGGACCGCCTCGTCGAGCATGTCGGTGCCGACGCCTTTACCGCGGTACCGGAGCTTCGTCGTCCAGGCGCGGATGATGCCCTTTCCGCCGCGGAAGCTCCAGGCCTTGTTGCGGCGCCGGCTGCTGAAGGTGGAGGCGACGGCCGGGCTCGCGGGCTCCAGGTGGAGCACTAAGGCGCCGACGAGCTCGTTCCCGAAGCGGGTGCCGAGGACGAGGTCCTCTTCGTCGGCGGAGGCGTCCGGGTGGGGCCGGATGAAGGACCAGGACATTTGCTCTGCGAGGGGCAGGTAGCCGCTCGTCGCCCAGCGGATAGCGAGGAGGTAGGTCATGATAACGCCGCTGAAGAGGGTGAAGGCTAGGCCGATGTCGCCTTGGCGTGCGTAGGAGTACTGGTAGGCGACGCCGAGGGTGGCTGTGAGGCCTGCGAGCGGGACGGGGTGGAAGACGAGTGAGTAGGCGGCCTGTTGGCGCTGCTGGGCGATGGAGTCTGCTACGAGGTGGAGGGCTTCGGCCTTATCCTCGCGGGTGGAGAGGACCTCGAGCGACAAAGGAGGGATGTCGTCAAAGGGGTCGAGAGTCTGAGATGTTGCCAGCGGAGACGGGGCTGCCGGGCGGTGGGTATTGGAAGCCACCGTAGGCTGGAGGACGGGTGTGTTGGTGTTGGATGACATGGCGGATGGGTTCAGGACCAAGTTGGCGCGGAGAAATGTGAAGAAGGCTGGATAGACTGGTCAGTTTGCTTTCGTCGTGATGCCGGGTCCAAGTTGAGAGCATTAATGAAAGCCAAGTGGAAAGAGGAAGAAAAAAAAAAGGAAATGTGGTCATGTAGTGAAGTGACTTGCGAGGTTGTGACAGACAGGATGAAAAGCTTGTCAATAGTTGAGATGAGATTTTTGTGTTCCACGTCCTCTTCTGGATTGGTTCTAGAGCACCGAGAGGCCGATAACCGTGAACGTGACCGAAACTTTCGGCGCTTTTGCTGCACGTTCTGAAAAAAAGCCAGATCCCCAAACGATCCTGCCGGAGCGTTGGAAAATGAGATTGGATGAACTTGATGACGATGTTCGGGTTTTGGTGTAGGCGGTATGATTGAGTTGTGAAAGAGACACACAACACGAAGTGAGGTTGAATGGAAATGCCAAGGTGAGAGGAGAGGTAGCGTTGAAGAATATGTGGCCAAGAAGAATTGATTTAAAGAGCCGCAGGGCAGAAGCGCAGGGAAGACGCAACGAGAAACCAAATGAGGGAAGAGAAAAAAAATTCGTGTTAACTCTTACCTGCGCTTGTCTTGATTGCGGGGACCGCATGATTGAAGGTATCGGTAAGGGCATTGTGAGAGTGCCAGTTGCTCACATTGAGCTCGCGAATGCCCATGTGGTGTGGTGAATCCATCTTATTGGCCCGTTGGTCTAGTCGACTTGACGACCCAGTTTCGTTGCTGGCTGTCCGGTCCTGGAAGGAGAAATCGGTCGCTTATTAGGCGGGCAATTGTACGGATACGTCTCGTCTTGTTGGGGGCGGGTTTGCCGTCAAGACTAGGGAGAACCGCCGGTAACAGGAAATAAAAGACGCCGGCTCTGGGGTGGTTGGAAATTGGAGAGTTGGGGCTGGTTGAATTCTTAGTGGCGGCAGCTGGCGACAGACGATGGTAAGCGCCGCCGCGAAGCTCAAGATGGATGGTGGTCTCGTGAGGTTGTAAAGTGGAAAGAAGAGAGAGGACCCTGTCACGGGAAGGGGGGCTGCAACATGGATCGATGGGTTCCGTCTATCGTCTATATATCCTCCAGGGTTGGCCAGGTCAGGTCGTCCAAAGAAGGCCCCAAATACGTCGTTCGTTCGTGTCTTTGGCGTCGGCGTTGGGGGTGGCTGGAATGTCCAGGGAACAGAGTTGTTGGTGGCCGTTGCGTTATGCCCTTGGGTATTAGTAGTATGGTGGTTTATCGCCGGTAAGGTTGGTCTGGTCAAGGTCTGTGGTGCCTGGGTCTTGGACTGTGTCTGTTGGTTTTGAGTCGGCCGTTGGACTTGCACACAGACAGGTATCTGTAAGATGAATCGCCCGCGCACCCGTCGTCGGGGATCCCGTCCCAAAAGTGGCTGGTGAAGGGGGCTTGATGAAGAAAGAAGCCAGGGGAAGAGGGAAAGAAACAAAGCTCGGAAAAAAGGATTAAATAGAGAGTAAGAAGGGTCTTGTGGTATTTGTTACTTTGTTACTTGACCCCCGTTCCTTCGTCCAGCAAAATGGGAAGACTAATAAGTGGGAAATGAAGAAGAAAAAGGCTTGGGACCTTAAAAATCTGCAGGAAAAGGAAAATTTTGAAGAGTGGGTGGACTTTGGTTAAGTAGGATCGGTAGGCGTGGGCTGGACAGGACTGGACTGGACAGGCCCGGGGATGGATGAGAGAGAGCTGCGAGCACTGATCAATGAGCAACGAGCATGGAGCATGGGATGGGATGGATGGGGAATCGGGATGGGCATGGGAGAAGGGCAAGAAAAAGAAGAGAAAGATTGTCGTCGTGTGCGCGTGCGAATGGGAACCTCCTTCAAACCAAGCTTCGAAACGAAGTACCTCCGCCGCTAGACGTTAGACGTACGGCACAGCCAAGCTACTTTGGGTCTCTTTTCCTTCAGCTCGAACCGGGGCTGCTTGCTGGTAATACGTATTGCTACTCTTTTTTCCCTCTGCCTCTTATGATTCTTAACCAGGAGACCATGACCGTCACTCTGGAAACCTCACCCCCCAACCCAACCTGGAAGTGTCATGTATCTCTTTTCTCGCTGCGCCGGTTTTTTTGTTGGTGGCTTGATGCATGTGGGTGAGCTAGAGGTGAGGTATACCGCATGTTACCGCCATATCAACCCTAATATCCGTATCATCGGGTCGGATGGCACCACTGGTTGGTTGTTTCTGCGCTCTCTTGGCTCCTCTCTCCTGTCTATCTCTTTCCGCGGTGACGCCAGTGGTTGGATGCATTTGCAAGAGATACATGGAGACGCACTCACACACACACACTCTCTCTCTCTCTCTCTCTTCCTCCATGTCTCTCCGTCTCTTCTTCCTCACCCTCTCTCCCGCTGTATCTCTCTTTCTCAGACACATACTGACAGACAACCCCCCGGTCAACGTGCTTCTCGCGCCAGCGCCAGTGTCGCGCGTGCGGCGTGCTGCTGGGACCAGCAGAACCTAGGATGGTGATGGCAAGGGCTGGGCGGTGGGAAGGATTGCAGCAAGCAGTAACAGCTACTGCAAGAAGCAGGGCAAGCCGCAAATCCGCACCCGCCGTCTTGCAGATTTCTGATAAGGGTCCCCCCTCGCCGAGTGCGCGTGTCACCCGTGTCACCGTG